TTCATGGAGAAGCAAAGCCTGTAAATGCTAACATGTAATTGCCTTACAGGTGACAACTACGACGTTGCAGATTAACTTTTACAGGATAATTATTGTAAAATGGAATTGTCCATTGCAAATCTCTGTTACAAATTAATGGATTTACCTTCCACAACTTTAAATTCTGATTCACTACACGATTCCGGATTAGAGGTGTAATCGTTAGCCGGTCGGCCGAGCGGACAGCACGCTGGACTTGTGATCCTGTGGTCCCGGGTTCGATCCCGGGCGCCGGTGAGAAACAATGGGCAGAGTTTCTTTCAACCTATGCCCCTGTTACCTAGCAGTAAAATAGGTACCTGGGTGTTAGTCAGCTGTCACGGGCTGCTTCCTGGGGGTGGAGGCTTGGTCGAGGACCGGGCCGCGGGGACACTAAAGCCCCAAAATCATCTCAAGATAACCTCAAGATAAGAAGTTAATAAATGTTCTCGGAACAGAAGTTCCTACCAGAAGTGCCGTGTGGTTGTTCCAATTAATCGTTCAAAGTAAGAAACTGAGTGAGGTGGTAACATGTGCTCATATTACCATGCTCTCTCTAAACAGTTTTTAACACTTAAAGAAATACCAGAGGGATTAAACACAGCTATTAATCTTATGTGAATGTTTAGCAAAATTAAACCACATTATAAAATTGCTCAGGTGACCCTTGATATACATAAACAAAAGCCTCATAATTCACCTTTCAAAAGGTTTCGTGTCTCTATTGAAGCCTATAATAACACCAGCATCTAGGAAACGAGAAAATCCTGCACGTGCGACTGATTTACAAAGTTGTTTCTTCTGTAAAGAGGGATATTCCATTTACTAGTGCTTTACGTACCCTGATTGTCAATGTAGTTTCATTTGATTTGCAACACTTGCAGTGGTGGCAAATATATTTTGTTATTCATTTATGCCACGACCAAAAAAGCTCCCAGAAAGCCAGAGCAGGAAAACCACCGCTGGTTTTAAGAGAGTCTGCAGCCTCAAGAACCGTCTATAGAACTCTCCCAACAAAGTAAACAAGCGATTGAAATTTCTTGAAACTTGGCGCTAGTTCCTTCGCTCCTCCTTCTCCCCATGTATGGGTGGAGGGGGGGAGGAGGTTGGCATTGGTCAGTCAGCTACTCCACCATCAGTTTGACGAATGATGGAAAAACTCCCGACGACCAGCGTTAAATGTAAATTTTCTTACATTTAATGCTGATTTTTTTTTTTGAGGATGTAGCCTCTTGTGGCTCCCTGAAGCCAACTGCCCATGGAGTATTAATAGGCACTTACTAGGGAGAAGGGAGCACCACATGAATCAAGGCGAACCAGGAACTCCCAGCAGCAAAAGATGATTCAAAGTCATACAAGGGCACCGAGTCCTGAGCACCGAATCTTGTGCTCAAGAGACTAGTGCAAAAGCTAGAGATGCAGGCAGGAGTGAAAGCGAAGGTACTCCATTGGATAAGGGAGTACCTAAGTAACTGACGACAGCGAGTCATTGTGAGGGGTGAGGTATCAGATTTGCGAGGCGTCACCAGTGGAGTCCCGCAGGGTTCAGTCCTTGGACCTATTCTGTTTCTGATATATGTAAATGATCTCCTAGAGTATAGAATCGTTCCCATCATTGTTTGCTGATGATGCAAAAATTATGAGGAGGATTAAGACGGAGGATGATAGTATGAGGCCACAAGATGACCTAGATAAACTGAATGAATGCTTCATCAAATGGTTACTAAAGTTCAATCCTTGTAAATGTAAGTAATCTAGGCAGTGGAAACAGGAAGCCAGACACAGGATACCGAATGAGAGAGGAAGTCCTTCATGAAACGGACATAGAGAAAGATCTAGGCGTTGATATAACACCAAACCTATCTCCTGAAGCCCACATAAAACGAATAACATCTGCGGTGCATACAAGGCTTGCTACCATCAGAACTGTCTTCAGGAACCTTTGCAAGGAATTATTCAGAACCTTGTAAACTAAATATATAAGACCAATTCTGGAGTATGCGGCCCCAGCATGGAACCCGTACCTTGTCAAGCACATGACAAAGCTGGAAAAAGTTCAGGTGTATGCCACTAGGCTAGTCCCATAACTAAGAGGCATGAGTTACGAGGAAAGGCTGAGTGAAATGCACCTCACGACACTAGAAGACAGAAGAGTAAGGGGGAAAACATGATCACTACCAACAAAATTTTCGTGAGGAATTGACAGGGTAGATAAAGATAAACTGTTAAGATAAACTGTTAAAGATAAACACAGGTGGTACGCGAACAAGGGGACACAGGTGGAAACTAAGTATCCAAATGAGCCACAGGGACATTAGAAAGACCTTTTTCAGTGTTTTAGTAGTTAACAGATGGAATGCACTAAGAAGTGATGTGATGGAAGCTGACTCCATACACAGTTTCAAATGGAGACATGATAGAGCCCAATAGGATCAGGAATCTGTACACCAGTTGATTGACAGTTAAGAGGCGGGACCAAAGAGCTTGAGCTCAACCCCCGCATGCACAACTAAGTGAGTACAACTAGGAGAGTACAATTACACAATAATGGGCAGTCAGAACCCTGTTCGATTTCTAAAAGCCTGGCACCTAAATATCAACCTAGGGCAAGGAGCAAGAAGGCTCACTCGTGCTCTGTAAGACTCTAACCAGGACTCTAAGCACAGCCGGCCCCAGGAAAAAGTATATATTTGCCCCCATTTAGACCAGTCCAACGATAAGGCATCTATTGTTAGGGTCTGGTGACCGGCGAACGACGCCGCGTAAAGAGGAAGGCGCTGAAACCACGCCGACGCGAAGTCCATATCCAGGTGCCCGAATTGGTCACTTTTGATATGCGAGGTCAGTCCTCATTACTAAGGCATAAATGGCGTCGTTTCTCTGGCGACGAATATCTCTAGCTCAGTTACCCGATGTTCACAATTCGTGTAGTCCAAAATTCAGCTTGCCGAAATGTTGCCATGTAGTTTTGCACACAATCGTATATAGTAATTTCATTTATTTAAATTACTCAAAACGAGTTATAATGGACACTCATCCCCTTGGGGCTGGTGGTTGTGCATCTTAACTTCCTATGGCATAAATAAATAAATATATATATTTATATATATTGTGTTCACAACTAAACATGAAGTGACGACGGAAAAAATGTGCACTTTCCTGTTTGCTGTCGAGGTCGATCGGCACCCGTTTCATAGGTATCTTGCTCATTATATATGCCAGCGGTGTGTCTCGTGTGTCACGACCTAAAGTTGCATCTTTAAGATGGCTGCTTCCCTCCTCACCCGGGCAGCTACGTCTAGTTCCCACAATGATTTTATCGAATCCTGGAAGGAGAGTTACTGAGCTGTTTATATTAATACTCATAATTGACTTTAGTTTTATATAATCAGTTTCTATATATTCAGTCCTCAGAATGATGATTGAAAAGTTATAATAAGAACTCATATTTTGTTACGAGAAGTTTTTTGGGGTGACGTGACATATCATTTTGTGTTATACATTTTCTAAAGAGAAATTGTCATGTCCTCTCCCTTTTAGGGGAACTTTTATTTGAGAACTAGCAGTACCCGGCCACGCGTTGCTGTAGCTCAGCAATGCATGTGCGTTGCTGAGTCACAGCAACGTGGTTCCTCGTGAAGTTTAGCAAAAGGAACACTACCTCTCTTTGCGTTGATTTGCAGTAATAGTTTTGTTCACTTTGTGTTTAAGGTCTTCCACAGAGTTCCTCGTGATTCGTTGAAATTTAGTGTCACCACTGAGGATATCGCTGATTTTATTCATATATTCTTGGGTAGGAGTCGACCGGGGAGCCGGTCGGCCGAGCGGACAGCACGCTGGACTTGTGATCCTGTGGTCCTGGGTTCGATCCCAGGCGCCGGCGAGAAACAATGGGCAGAGTTTCTTTCACCCTATGCTCCTGTTACCTAGCAGTAAAATAGGTACCTGGGTGTTAGTCAGCTGTCACGGGCTGCTTCCTGGGGGTGGAGGCCTGGTCGAGGACCGGGCCGCGAGGACACTAAAAAAATAGCCCCAAAATCATCTCAAGATAACCTCAAGATAGGAATCAACACATGCTGCTGTCTTGTTGACTTTTCTTCTTTGAGTCTGGGGGATTAAGATTTTTATGAGCCAAAGCCAGATGAAGGAAGAGAATGAGGGAATATGATCACTACATACATAATAATACCAAGATTCGACAAAATTGACAAAGATATATTTTTGAAACCGTCAACTTCAAGAACAAGATATCAGAGACTCATGCTAAGGAAGCAAAGGTGCTGAAAAAATATTAGAAAATTTTCTTTTGAAAACAGAGTGGTAAACGGTTGGAACTGGTGAGAAGGTGAGAAGATGGAAGATGCTAAAACCGTCAGTTGTATGAAAGCGTCATGTGACAAAGAGTATGGGATGACGGGACACCACGAGCATAACTCATTCTGTAATTACACTTAGCTAATTACACACACACATATATCAGTTACTTTTAATAATTTTTATTTCCAACTATGTAAATAAATTGTAATGTCATAATAAATAATATGTATCTCACTCCTCAATTCATGTCGAAATTAGTATATATCTGTATTCAAGTACGGACGTTTATCTGTACAATACATGGAATTTAAAAAGAGACAAAAATAAAAATGCACTAAATTTTATATTATTTTTATACATAATATTAGATGAAGAATACATGTTACATTTAGGAAACTAGGGCCGTTCTCATGAGCAAATATTTCCTAAACTAATGCACTCATGCTTTAAAATCCGTTTGTTATTAAATGCAGTTAGCAGATCATTTGATTGTTTTGTACATATTTAGGTTTCTGTTTTATAAATGTAACTCACAAAATATGATAACGATCACAATTTTTTTTTAGATGAGATAATAAATATCACATCTAAAAAATCCCTGCTGAGAGTTTCAAGATAAAATTGTATCATAATCATTACCAATTTATGTATACCTTCTTCCTTAGTCTTCGTGGTGATAAGTGACATTATGTGGCTGAGTATAGTGATGGGCTTGTGGGGCTGCGGCGTTGGCGCCTTCATGAGTATATTCAACCTGGTTATGGTTCATTATATGGGCCTCGACAACTTCATGCCAATGCTCGGAGCCACAATGTTGTTCATATCTGGAGGATACCTTACAATAGGTCCTTTGGTCGGTGAGTGAACATTTCTGTATATTCTCTGCTTATTAATTTGGTTCACGCTTTGGAAGGTCACAACTGTGGCCAAATTACTTGTATATTATATATTTTCTCTGTTTGGATGCAGAAATTAAACATTAACTGGATGCATGAAAAACCATTAGATGTAAATTAGATATTTTAATAAAAATATTTAAACTTTAATCCTAAAATGTATTATAATGTGATATTATTATTCACCTTGCCGTTCAGTCAATTAATAGAGATATCTCTCTCCCACTTAGGTTACATTAGTGATGCTAGCGAGACCTACTCAGTCACTATATGGGTATTAGCCAGCACCGTCCTCTTGAGCTTTCTTCTTTGGCTCTTCATGCCCATTGCTGTTACTTATGATAAACGAGAGAGCGCCATTAGAAATACAGGTAAAATATCCTGAAGCCTTTACCAACTCACTGTGGCATTTGTTGCATGTTGGGAATTAGG